CGGTTTTGGAGGGAAACAGCTGCTTTTTACAGCTACTTTCTGCACTTAATATATTTTAAAAGTTGATTGTGTAGTAAGGAAGTGACTGTCAGGGGCTGAGCGAGGAGCGAGTGGCCCGAGGGACGTCTGTCAAGCGGCCGGGCCACCTTCCCCACGTAGCCCCAGCCCCAAGGAATGTTTGGTTTCCACGGTGTAAATTCTAACCGACATCTCCGACATCTGTTGGCACTCGGCTGGTGGCTTCCCAAGGAAAAGTCTGGCTCTGCGGAGGGGAGAAGGCCGGGGTTTAATCCTCCCTGGTGCCCCGCGCGTCTGAAAGTTTTGTGGAAGTCAGGGGCGCAGGGTCTGTAACCGTCGCTTAGATACGGGAGATAAGGGCCCCGATTGCTGAGGGGGTTAACATGGAAACGTTCTGTGCGATTACGCAACTCTCACCAGCGCTGGAGGATATCTTGGTACCTTGTGGCAACAGATAAAAAGTTGCTTTTTGAAGTATTTTAGTCCTGTTTGAAACAAGAAGAAGGAGGGGAGGAAAAAAAAAAAAAGTTGTTTGCCGGCTGCAAGAGACTCAGCATGTTCGGTCCGTGTGGGGACGCGCTGCCAGTGAGCAACCTCGGTGGGGAGAAGGGAAGGAGACATCGCGTTCCTGTGCTGTCCCTTCAGACGAAGAAGCGAATCGCTGCCGTCTCCGACCTAACTGTGCCCCCGCCAGCCCTCCTTCTCCCCAGGAAGAGAAGGAAATCTCCGTGCTGCAAACAGCACGTTCGTCAAGGAGCCCTTGTTTCTCTGCCGGGACCGTGGCCGGGAGGGGGATGAGCTTCCACAGGGACCCGGTGGCGGCTGGGCTGTGGGAAACTGTTGCGGCAATTCCTCTGCAAACCCTGCAGAGGGTTTAGACGTTGGTGAAGGTGGAGACAAACCTCAGGACTTCTGCTGTGAGACTTTTCTTCCTTATTTTTAGTCCAATATCGTGGAAAGAACCATCAGGTGGGCAGCTGCCGGCTGGAAAACTTGACGGAGAAGTGGGAAAGTTCACAGCTGACTGATAAAAGCCCTCGGTGTGAACAGCCAGGGCTCTTCCCAGAGCTGTCTTTTATTTCTAGAGGGAGGAAATATCCACGTATCCTCCCTCCTGATTTTTGAAGTTTTGCTGAGTGATGTTTTCTACTGATAAAAGTAACTCCTGACGCTTCACCGCACCAAAGGGAGCGTCGACTCGGCGCTTCAAAGCATTTCTGGACACATCTCCAAGTCACCCCTCTGCTGCTCTCCTAACAAACCGGAGCCAGCCCCTTCTAAAGACACTCCTGTCCTGGCGTCGGCTGCCAAAACACCCAGCGGGTTTGCCGGCCGGCCCCCGCTCCCCCCGCCGGCGTTTGTCGCCTCCCGCCGCGTGATGTCCGGTGCTGCCACAGGGAGGAACTCAACCTGCGCTCGGTGCCGTGGGATGCCGGCCCGGCTCCTGCTGCCCTTGCCCAGCGCTGCTCCACTTGTTTTATTGCCTCCAGATGAAATATCTTCCCCTTGCGATGAGGGGAAGATATTTTTTTTTTTTTTTCCTAATGTTTGAGTTTAAACTGGGCTGTCACTCCCCAGCTGGCGTGAGCTCAGACGTCTCCATGTTAAGCCAGTGCCTTGTTTTAAGGATTAACGTGGTCAGTTCGCGTCACCTCGGTCTCCTGGGGATCTCTGGATCCTGTGGTTTCTCCTAAATGAACGGGAAGGGCTGGTGGCAGCTTTTAGCGGAGAAAAGCTAGGAATTCCTTTTTTTTTTTTTTTTTTAAGAGGATGGGGATTGTAGGATTAATGCGCAGTGCAAAAATGGGGATTACAAATACAGATACTTTTAGGGCTCTGCTTTCCCTTTGCAGGGGCTGTACGAGGGCTTCCTGCTCATCGTGGGCTGGGAGACCTAATTTTGGGGGTTATAGTTGCTGTTGTTTCTTCAACGGGCCAGATTTTGGGTTGAGAACTGCAGGTTTGGGTACTGCGTGGCCGTTAAATGTTATTCCCATCTTTGAGAGACAGTTCCCTTCTCCCTCTGGTAAAAAACACGTGTTCAGCGGAACGTCCTCCTTCACGTGGGAGGACACGGGCTCTTCCCAACGACCCTGCTGCCTGGCCTGCTACTCTCACCTTCGTTAGAAGCAGCTCTCGTTAACTATCAGTGACGTCGCATTCAATATCCCTTGAATCAATGGATTTCCTTAAAGCGGATGTGCAAGAGCCCGGCAAACCCACATTTGGTTCTTCCTCTTTTCTCGGTGGCTTCCAAACTCTCACACTTCAGGGTTTCAGCTGCTCCCCGCAACGTGATTTTGGTTAAATCTGTGCTTTCTGGCGCTCCCTGATGATTTTCTGCTCCGGAGCAGGACAGGAATTGCCCTTGAATCCTGCAGGTCTGGGCTGCGGATTCCTACGTGCAGAAACAGGATCGTATGCCTTCCGAGCTGAGAAAATGAGTCTGGAATCGGACTGTTCTCACAACTGTGCTGCTGCAAAAAAAAAAAAACAAACACCAAAACCCAACAACAACCCCAAAGAGGTTTTTTTGGGCTGGTTTCCCTCCATTTGGTGTTTCTGAAAAATAATGGGAACAGCGGTAGCAGGAAATGAGACTCCCGGGGTGATAAAGCAGCCACCGCACCTCTCGAACCTCCCCTCGTCCCCTCAAATTTGTCTCGTTTTTGGTCGTTTGAGAGGCAACAAGTTTCCTGCAGCAGCAGAGAGCGTGTTTGCCTCTGGATTATGGTGCAGCAGGTCTCTCTGAGTTAATTAAGGTTAATTAATGGGCACGTTTCTCTCTTGCAGGCTGGTGGCAAGGCGGGAAAGGACAGCGGGAAGGCCAAGGCCAAGGCCGTGTCGCGCTCACAGAGAGCCGGGCTGCAGGTAAGGCACAACCACGCCCGCTGGCTCCCCGATTTCAATGTAAAACGGGAATTTTTGAGTGAAACCTCCACTTCTGGGAGGCAGGTTTGCCCCAACCCCCGCCCCCTTTTTTTTTGTTTTGTTTGTTTTCCTGTAAAACCTTAACATTTTGTGATTTGTGTCGTGGTGTTAATGGCATTACAGGAGCTCCTGGAAGCCATAGACGCGCAGGGCGGGGATTCGCTTGGGTCAGAAATGAGCGGTGTAGGGTGCAATGGTGTGAACGTGTAGGCGGCTATAGGTGCTAACGAGGTGTCGATCTCTCCCACCCCCAGTTCCCCGTGGGCCGGATCCACAGACACCTGAAGACTCGCACCACCAGCCACGGGCGAGTGGGTGCCACCGCTGCCGTCTACACCCCCACCGCGGGTCGGTTGGGTGCCACCGCTGCCGTCTACAGCGCCGCCATCCTCGAGTACCTCACTGCCGAGGTAGGTCCTACCAGAGGTGGGGGGGGGGAACAAACCCCCACCCCAAAACCCCCCAAAAAATCATTTGCCTCGGGATCCCGAGTGTCTTTCCGATTTCTCGGCAGGTGCTGGAGCTGGCGGGCAACGCTTCGAAGGATCTGAAAGTCAAGCGGATCACTCCCCGTCACTTGCAGCTGGCGATCCGTGGCGATGAAGAGTTGGATTCCCTGATCAAAGCCACCATCGCCGGTGGAGGTGGGTATCGTCCTTGCACCCCCTTCCCTCGTTGGGAATTTTAGAATGAGGAG